CAATAGTTTTTGCTTCAAACGAAAACGGTCACATGCAAGGACCACCATAGTATTTTGTTACAAATTGTATCTGGCCCATATACATCTTTTTATAACCATTTTATTTTGGTTGAAAGGTGTTGCCAACATTTCTTCAGAATTATGAAACTAATACAAATGCATTTAAACAGGCAATTTGGTAAACATCTTGTAAAATATCATAATTTTGAAGATGTCAATATTGTTAAAACGAACAGCTAACTTGAACAAAAAAGTGTTGAGTTTAACTAAATTTACATATTTAATTTTATAAATATAGGTTTTACATAGAGTACTACAAAGCTTGATTACTATAGCCTATTAAAGGCCTTCATGGCCATACTCCCTTTTATAATATCCAAACACAATAAAAATACCATTCCAAATAACCATACAACATTTTACAATACACCCTCCATCTCGCCTACATCAGAGTAAGTGAAGTGTGAATTCACTTTTACCTGGGAGAAGATTATGTGTTTGATAATCAAATACAATAATATCTTCTAATACATTTATTTATCTTGTTTATGATTAATCAGAACTTGAAATATATTCTTTTTGTGTACTTGCTGGACTCCGTGACTTTTTGGATAAATTTAGTTTGATTTCGATGTGGTTTGGACATAAGAGGATATATATTTGTGTGTATGCACTGCTGGATATAATTTAAATTCATGTTGGATCTACTACTTTATTTTTGGATTTAAGTCTGATGTGTTTTACACATTTTATGTAAGTTGTGTAACAAAATAAATGTCTACTATTGAAAACACAGAATTTTCACAGGCGTGTCTGGTGTTTCATCAGCATGGGGGATTATATTTATCAAATTTGGGATGTTACTCTTGGCGTTAGGAGATGATCGCTCCTGGTTTATTCCTTTTGGGAAGAAATATCTATGAAAGAATGATTGTAACTTGATCAGACAAGTTAACTAAAGATGATGTAAAGACATGTACTAGTACAATTGTAACAATTTAATTCATAGCAACAGATGGAAGACGGCAAAGAATTTCTGTCTAATAATATGCAAGGCTTAAGATATAGATTTAATTTTGATCGATCATTGAACTCTTTGAATCATATGGTTTCAATGTGTAGTTGCTGATATTGCATTTTTAATAACATTCTGTTGTCTTCAGCTTGCAAGTGTTTGAGGTATGTTAGAAGAGTACATACCAATTTTTAAGAGTTCAGTGCTCTGTATGTGTACTCAGATTTGTACTGAAATTAGTTGTACTGAAATTTCTTGTACTGAAATTACTTGTATTGAAATTTTTGTCAGTCCACTGAGATAATAGAATTGATAGGGTTGAGATCTAAAACAGATTGTTTACGTCCTGCCTCATATCTGTGCATCTGTCACAAGCAGTGAACTTTTTCAGTATCTTTTGTTTTCCAGCCTTTGGAGAATTTGAAGTTAATTATTGGCACGACTTTGATGGTCACTGTTCAATTTTTGGTTTTATAAAGCTTCATATTATATAAAGACACATGTTTAATTGTTGAGACCTTAATGTTTTAGTTTTTTGTGTCTTTTGATTGTGGTCTCAGACTGGGTTGCTGTCTGAGTCTTTTTGTTGCTGTTGCACACTTTGGGTTGCTGTCTAAGTCATTGGATTGCTGTTTAAGTCTGTGGATAGCCTCATCTTTGACCTCTCTGTTTGTAACAAAAACTGTAAGGAGAATTAAGAAAGAGTGATTTTCTTTGAGGAATAAAATCATGTTAAACTCTTAGTTTGAATGGAACTTTCTACATACTTTGTATAATTATGCATGTTGGTCGGTTATTTTGCTTGTGGATATTACATGTGAATGTCCACTCATTCAGATCAACAACCGATCTTACACATATTGCCCTATCAAATAAAGAAAGATTGTGTTTGCCTTGTTTTTGTTTTGCAAATGACTGCAGCCACACAAACCGCAATTGTTCTAAATTTACGTAACTTAGATGTCGACCAACTACGTAGACATTAATGGGCCACAGAGTGCTTGCTTTTTTATCAATTAACATGAAACATGGTGATAAACAATGCAAGCACATTGCATTTTAATTACCTTTCAAAACTTAAAACGTGAACTATAAATAACATGATGCACAAAAAGGTTTAGTTCTTACTCCCAAGTTTATTTTTATGATTTTTGATAGCAGAAATTATGTTTCTAAAAAAAAGACTTGCTTGGTTTTTTTTGTGGCAGGTAATGTTTTTGCATGACCTGAAATAAGGACAATTTAAGATCTTTATCTAAGTACATCTAAAGTTCTGGATGCCTACTAAAAAACTAGATACTGAATGTCACCAATACTTCTATAGTTTAGTTTAAAGAATCATAGTTTCTGACTGTATCAATACTATTTTCACCATGTATATGCTATCAACCATGATGTTTTTGGTTTGGTTTGTGTTGCTCAATCTAAAGTTTTCTGTGAAGTGTTTAGTGGGCTGTGTTGGCTGTCTTTACATCAATACTGTGATCTCTTGGCTGTTTATTAATTGTCTGGTTTTTATTCAGCTTATGGTTTAAATGATTTGGTAACTAATCTGGTCCCCTTTTTTGGCATTTATTCAAATATTGGTAGATATCATTAGCTTTATTAGTAGTTCCATAGCATCTGAGTTCACCCCCCTTTTGGGTGGGGTTTCGTGTGCCACACAATCTTATAAGTTTTCTGTAGTATACTGTGTTTATCTTTTCATTGTTTGGCATTGTAAGTTTATTTTTTACATATGAGATTTGAATGTCCCCTTGGTGTTTTCTGCCTCTTTTTTTACTGCTATTAAATTCTATAATTTAGCCTTTAAAGTGAATCAGTACACAGAAAAAAAAAAGCTACATAAGCTTGGTTGAGTTTTATATGATCAATTAAACACTCAAGGTCAATGTATTGAAAAAATTATTTCAGAATAACAATGGTCAATGTGTTTACCTATTGATAAAGTTCTCTATAAATTATTGAATTTTTCTCACTTCAGGATTGTTATTGCTAACTCCTCTTTATTAATTATTGATTATCGAGCTACATACTTGTGAAAATTGATTATGCAATATAGTACTATAGTATTGTGAAGAGGCCATCAACCGTGAGACTCAGGGGGGAAATGTTACATTAATTTAAAAAATATTTTTAAAGATTTTTTTGTAGTCCAAATTTGTTCCACTCGAAAAACCTGGGAAATATAATGCTAATAAAAGAAACATACAGTTATTCAACTGTGGTCTATTTTACCATGGTTGCTACTTTCAATTTAAAAAATTCCAATATGGAAAAAACTTGAAGAGTGCCAAGTTTAAATGTCATATCTAAACAAGTGAAAAGCAAACATTGTACATTCAGGGATGGGGAAAATTGTTTACAACACAGTAGGGGAAATGTGGGGGCATTTGATTTATGTCTAACTGTACTTTACTGAAAAAAATATTTATATACTGATAATAATGATGTCCACTTGTACTGTGCTCATTCCCTCAGTTCTGGCATGGAATGAAACTTTTTCATTTTTTGAAATAGACAATTGATTTCAAACTTTATCTATTACTACTTCCTAGTGCTAGATTTCTGGTTTAAATGAATTTATATTTTTGATGGTCCTGAAAGTTTTACATATTTGGCTTTACAATATTTTGGTCTCAATAAGTGCATGTGGTGCAGGTAATTTCTAACGCACATAGGGTTTATACTAAAATCTGCATCAATAATTCTTTATAAAGAGACCCAGATTCTTTATAAAGAGACCCAGAATAAAGTCAACAAAGTAATTTTCAATATTTAGCATAACCATCTTTTGGCCTTCAGGTTTATGCATAATAAATTACCCTAGCTGTATCATTAATAGACACATTGAGGTGTCTTGTATCTTGATATCTGACACGTAGTTAGTTGTGTAGCATCATCTTACATATGTTTACTTACATATTAATTGAGGATTAAATAACAGTATGACAAGCAAATAAATGTGATATCTGCAATTGTGTTTTATTATGTGTTTTCATAAAATGATATGACCCTTTCAAAAATTTTGACAGAATTTGCGATGGTGAAGTATTGAATGCACTGGATCACTTTATTATTTCATAGAATTATCATGATTATGACCCTGTATTAGTTTTGGTATATAGTTGTAAGGGTATTTTTTGCTGCCAAGATTTGTATTTTTGAGTTGTGTCATTCATGTTAACCACAAAGCTTATATTTATACTACTTGATGTGCAGATGTGTAATAGTGACTTGGTGTTTTCTAATTGTTGTCATATGTATTATACAAAACAATTGCTAACCTTTTTACGTCATTTGGTCTGTTGTAACGAGTTGTCTCATTGGAAGTCATACCACATCTTATTATTAAATTAAAAAAAAAAGGGTTGGTTGGTCTTGATTGTTAAAATTTGTTTTTGCAGTATGGACAAAATCTGGTAAAATTACATGTTTCTTCCAAGTCTTACATCATCATTAAATACACAACGCATTTACACAAACGTCACTGAAATTGTTTTTTTTTGGCTAATCTTATTTAGTCAACAAATCATGTTATGATTCTTGTCTACATTGAGAGCTAGTTTCCTTGCTGAGTTATTTCAATCTTGTCATGTATAGATTTGTAAACTTTTATAAAAGAAATCACAAATATTATGTCATGATAATTATGTATAATAGAATTTTATTGACCAGCAGTTAGAATTAATACGGGTAGAAACAACAGCAAGTCTAACATTTCCAGAAGTGCTAACCTTTCCGTACCATCCTAGTTTATCTCTGTATTTTGTTAGGTTCCTCAGTTGCTCAATGTCTGTTTTTCTAAGCAGTGTTTTGTGAATTGTTGTTTGTCTGTTCCACTTTTGGCCATGGTGCTGAATGTCCATTTTCAGCATAGTTTGATATTCTTTTTTTTCCTTCCTGTGAGGAAAGAGATTGTCATTCCAAATTGAGAGCTTTAATATAGTACCTTATATTTATTGATTTTTTATTTATTTTCCAGGTGATGACATCTTGTGTACCACAAATTAATAATCATGATGTGGTAAGTACTCTAATAGAATTTTCAAAGCACTGAGAGCACTATTGGAATGTTGAAAACTCGCTGTTTCAGAGTGTATCTGTTTAACTATTAGATTCCATTTTGAATTTGAGCTCTGGTGGATATTTGTCTGATTGGCAGTTATACCACGTCTTCTTACATTTATAATCAAATGTTAATGGAATATTTTAATTTTCAAATTTTGCACACTACAGGTAACTGCAGGGCACTTTCACTGCTTAGCCTTAAAGTATGTTCACTTGCTCATCATTGAAGGCATAATGAGGTCTTTGTTTGATAGTTATATTTTGGGTTTTACCTCTCTCATTACTATTGTATGGTTTCACTGCATACTTTTGTATGGTTTCACTGCATACTTTTGTATGGTTTCACTGCATACTTTTGTATGGTTTCACTGCATACTATTGTTTCATTTCATTGCAGTCAGTTGAAACAACCATTAAGGTTATCTGACTGACTTTATACCATACATGTCAATCTACATTTTCAGTGCCTGCTTGTTTTCACATAGTGCTTTCAGTACTTTGATTTAGTTTTGTTTACAAACAATAATTATGTAAGGGTGTTGTCATCAGTTTGTCATTACTGATTATACACATGTAATCTATGTGGCAGTAGACCTTGGCTTATAGTCAGACACATGCAAGATGACATTTCAAAAACAAATTTATTTCTCATTTCCATAACATGCATATTTATAGATCAAAGAATACATTATAGGCTTCCGGTGTTTTTGTAAGCTACCAAAAATGTTTGAATTTAATGAACTGAACTCAAATGTCAGGCATTATTTAAAAGATTAAAAGGCTCTACAGAGAAAGCATGATAGAGAACCTAGATAATGCTTTATGCATAATCAATCAAAATGTTGTTTAATTAAACTCAAATTGTTGGCTATGTTGAGAGCTTTGACCTTTAATTTTAACTCCATCAGTCAAAGTTCAAGGCTACCTTACAACTTTTGAATGTACAGAAATCAATTTAAGTATGATTAGGAGTAGCTACTCCACTGTGCACTGTTCTGTTATTTATTTGTATATATATGATTTTTACCTAGAATTAAGGGAACAGTAAATTGCCTGAACAAATGTGATTTTAATATACAGTTTCTTCAAAACTTTGAAATCTAAATTTAGCAAATTTAATGAGTACAGCAGGGAATGTCTTAATATCGACACAAACATCAATTTTCATATCTTCTGTTATAATGTCCTGTAATTTTAAACTACTATAAAGATACCAACATAGTAATTTTCACATCTATAATATTCATGTAAAGGTGTCATCATTGTTTATTTTTGTCCAGTTTTGGTCAGCCCAGGTGCTGGGTTTATTATTTTAGGATTAAATAACAAATTATGTTGTCACCCTAGGTTTGCCTATCAGGATGACCTTACTACACTTACATCAGGCTGAATAAGTTCCCTGACATGAACAAATCAAACGTCTTAGGTTAATCATTTGAAAGGTTTTTGGAATAAGGTCCATTATTTCTCCCTCAATTCAGTAAATACAAAAATGTTGTATAGATGTACACAATTAGTCAACTGCATCACCCCTGATTAAGTAAAGAAAAGAGAACATTTAAAAATTCCATCAATACACATAACTGAACTTAATGACCTGCAGGTTAAATGTAGACTGTTATCTAGACAATACAGGTCAAATACTTAGATACACATGTCAAAATGATTTCTTCTCAATAAATGACCTGTTTCTACTGATATGATATATTGTAAATCTATTAATACCATTGACATGATAGATGTATTTATCTAAACTGACTTGTGGACAAAATCATTATCAAAATAGAAATGTAGCAAATGATTTCCTGAAAAAGTATGCCTTCATTCATACAAAAATATATATAAAAGAAATAGAAACAGCTAAACTATTTTTCCACAAACACAAAAAATAACCCTCAAATCAAGAACAATAACTGATATTAAGTATGCTACAGTGACAGATCCCGAAATTTTCATAAGGGGACTGCCTAAGAGGGGGCCCGCTCTAGTCTTGCTTCAGTGATTCCCTATAAAATCAACCAAATTTTTTCCTACAAAAGGGGGGCCCTGGCACTCTGCCCCCCCCCCCCCCCCCCCCCCCTACATCTGCCTCTGTACTAAACTACTAGTAAATCAATCAACTTCCGGAATAGGAAATCAGGGTTCAAATTTGCTTTAAATAATGAAAGGAGCTCAGAGGACCATTTGGATTTTCAAGTGAAAGGTAGTCCTTAAGATAGAGCAGGTATGATCAGAGAAAACAATGGGAGGTCTTTAACTTTTGTAATTCAAAAACGAAAAGTGCTCAGTACTCTCTTCAGGATCTCTGAAACCACTAATTTGAACCCTGGATGGGATATTTGGTAAAAAGATCTTTAAAGTAGAATAATTAATTAATATAGTGATCACAGCTACTCCTTTGTCCTCTAGACAATTATAATGATCACAGCTACTCCTTTGTCCTCTAGACAATTATAATGACTGGTGGCTTTTCCTTAAAATGTTGATGAAAGAGACTAATCAAGAAATAGGGAATAATAATAAAATGTAGATATATCAAGAGTACAGACCTATAAATAATATAAATAAATACCTTTAAAACCAGAGCTAGACTAATTCTATTTTAGGTCAAGTCTAGAACATTTAACTGTCATTCAGGTCTTAATTATTTATTTGATTCTTGCAAAGTTCTGGTTGCCTTCCCAAATGTATTTGATGTACTTTCTAAAAGCTTAGAGACACAAACTGATTAATAACAGCCATGATACATAGTTTCCAGATAAATGTAGGACAAATATCAAACATTCATGAACATCTGTACTTTTAAAAAGTATTAATTCAATATATTTATAATACACATGTGTGAATTTTCAATAAGATAATATACTTATTTTATAATTGGCACAAACTTAATGTTTAAAGTTTATATGGCAATAAACATTTGAATTTTAGACAACCTTTATAAGGAAGTGTTTGAAACATTATCATTATAATCATTATAATTCTAGTCCTTCTCAAGTAGTATATGGAATGGTACTATTTGGGAGGACACTTGTTAAGTTTGTTGGGTTATTATGGAATATGATACACTCAATTTAATATTGGGAGGACACTTGTTTAGTTTGTTCCATCCTTGAAACTTGACCTTAAGGGTCTTTTAACTTTTCCACCTAGAGAGGAAATGATGACAGCTTGTTGTACTGAGTATTGGTGATCAATATCACTACTTGAGTGTTGTACACATCTATAAGATAAGATAAGATAAGAATTTTATTAATCTAATCAAGAACCCATAAAGGGCATCATTTACAACAATATTAAGCACAATATGATTGGAAAAAAGAAAAACTATATCCTAATATAATACTATCATATATTGGACAGGATCAGAGCCTAACACATCATGTGTCTTACATAACATTAACAATAATTGCATAATAATTTTATATATTTTGTATCCACCTGGATCTTATTTCTAAACACTTAATTATATAATTGCCTAGGCACATAAGAGTTGGTAAATGCTCATTTGTGAACAGCCAGAAATATTTTTTATCCTTGGGTAATTCTTTAAAATTATTACAAAAACTGTTTACTTTATCCCATAATAATTTTCTCTGTTCGTTATATAAAGGACAACTTACTGTGAAATGGGTCTCATCTTCAATAGAATTTGATCCATGTGATAGGCAGTGATGACATAGACGCTGACTTCTCTCTATGTATTTTTTACTATACCTATCTTTCTCAATTTTAAGATCATGTGCACTTATTCTCAATTTACATATAGCTCTTCTTATATTAAAATCTTTAATTGATAAATAAGCCTCCTTTACGAAGTCAGTCTTGAGGTTGAAATAATTTTCTAATTTACTATTACCTTGTGATAAGGTATCAGATCTTTTGACCCCCCAAAATGTTTTAAAACTGTTACAAAGTTTACATTTTACAAATTTAATTAATCTATTGAGCTTTGTATTCAAATTTTGTATATCAAGTGATTGAAGGACATATCTCATAGATGAATACCAACAATTAATGTTTCCTGCATCTAAAATTTTATTACAAACATAAGCATCATAAAGTAACCCATCGTCCAATTTGTTAAGCCTGTGTACATATTTTACCATAGATATAATGACAGAAAAATAAAGAGGAAATCTTGCAACCTCTGATAACACTGCCAAATTTGAGGCTTTTTTATTTACACCAAGAATATATTTTAGATACCTGAAATGTGATTTTTCCAAATAATCATTTATGTAAATTAATTCAAATAGATAATCACTTTTTTTCTTGCAAGCAGCAGAGTTAATCTTAAAGGTACCCCAGATTTCACTACAATATAATATGTTTATAGCTGTTGATTATTACCATACCATGTTATCTTCATCACCATGTTTATTGATAAATACGACAAGGTGTGAAAAATGTTTGTCTTCTGGTCAACTGATAGCATTAAAGACAAGTGTGTTATTGACCCAGAACAGTCAAAGTAAAAGATATGTTTAACAGAAAATTCAAATGTGTCTATCATTTCATCTTTAAAAATTATGAATTGTAGATTTGATGATAAATTTTTTAACTAAGGGAGAACATAGCAAATTTAAATAGGTATTTTAGTATGTATCATTCTTGAATAGAAAATGTTAAAATTTGTTCCTGTATGGAAAATTGAAGTGCCTATCTTCATTCAAGTACAGATGTTTCAATATTATCATCACAAAAGTATTCCCAAGCATGCTGACATCATGAGTGTGGGAGGTCATGGGTTTGATCCACAGCCGTCCAAACAGAAGATATGAAAATTGGTGTTTTCTGCTTCTCCGCTATAAGTTCCAGACATTAAGGAAAAAGGGTAAGGGCAGGTGACAGCTCAGAGTCAAAACAATGTGCCTTTTTATGGACTTTTAGACCATGGGCAAAAAAAAGTGATTCAAACTGATCCAAATTTAATATTTCGTTGTTCAGAACATTTTATTTTTTTCCCTTTTGATGTTACTGTGAAATCTTGGTAAAAATTCTAGATGTAACCCTTAATGAAAGGCAAGTAGCTAGGTTGTCATTTAAAAATCTAAGTGCAATTGTATTGGAAGAAAAAGATATGATATTATAGTGTGTGCGTTTTAACCCATGGCTTACAGGAAAGGGTAAAGATACTTCTCAATGATGTTTTGAATCCTAAATGACATTGTAACATTAGTACTAGTTAGTATAATACAATAGAACTAGTATACCTGATTGTACTGAACTTTGTATCTGGACCCTGTCCAAACTAATGTATGTCTTATTTAAATAGTTGGTTCATATAAAAATAATTATAAACTTTCAAGTGTTGAATCATGGGATAAGTGGTTGACAAACTATTCAATGTTCGATTTGACCTATGTGCACTAAATGCAATTTGTGCAGTTATCTTTTTCTGTTTTACAGAAACATGAAACAGTAAACAGATACCATTACTCCACCAGAGATGTAAGTCTGATTATTTATATTATGATTGTAATGTATAAAAAAAGAAAAAAGTCAAAGGAAAAAAATCTGTGTATTTCATGTAACCAACCTTAGTTTCATTGCTGGTAAATGTATAATTGTGTTTGCCAGAGACACTTCCAGATCCAAGGGAGGATATGCTTGAGAAAATCTATCTTGTGTTAATGTACTGAACCTGCACATTGATACAAGAAATACACACTTTTTGTCCAATATGTGAATGTATAATAAAAAGTCGGTGAACTAAACAAGCCAGAACTCTGAATACCCTTTGAAAGAGATATAATCACTCGTTCAGTTTTTAAATAGAGTATAGTCTTGTCTTGAATATAAAGCAGGTAATATTTGCAGCTTGACAAACCGCAAACATGGAACAATGATAACTCTATTCATGTTAGATGTGATAAAAGTTATTGAATGAACTAAAGGAGATATTTGGTTAATTTCAATGAGACAGCAACCCAACAAAAAAAAAACAATGAAAAATAGACATGGATCATGTGAAAGAGTTCATCATACATGTTTATTTATTTAGAAATAACAATTGTATCATGTGTATTTCAGCAATTCTCTGGATCCCCTGGAATGTCCCAGTCCTCAACACTAAGAAATATGATCACCAGGGCCCAAGATCACCATGGCAACAGAGAAGATGACCAACTTGTCCTTGACCTTGTGTACATCACAGAAAGGATTATATGTAAGTTCTTAAGAGTCAAGTACTGATTGACTGCGTGCTTGGAAAGTAAAAGAAGATACCATCTAAGCAGCACAATGTTATATATAGGTATGACATAGGTATACCCGGTACTGGCATTATCTTATTTTGGGCATATCTAATTTATGTCATCGTTTTATGATAATAAGGCAAACCTTTTAGCTTTAAATAATAAAGGAAGGGGGTCTTTTGGCTATTTAACCTTATATTATTGTAAAGCATGATAAATGCCGGATATCCAATTACATTTAATGGCATTATTATATATGTATAGTATTAAGTTGCTATTTCCAAAGTTTGCTGGGGGAAATGTCAAATTTACCCAAATTGTGTAAAAAATTGTTTCTACTCACGCCTTTTATCATAAAGTCAATTATCATCCTGAACATGCATGAAATATTTGCCACTGGACTTTAAGCAACCAACAATCAATCATAAGGTCAATTAATTATTTGATGAATTCCTTAGAAATATAAATTTTGTATTTCCAGCGATGTCCTTTCCATCCGATGGACATGAGACAACTTACCAGTATAACTTAAATGAAGTTATGAACATGTTGAAACAAAAGCATGGGGACAACTGTATGGTCATCAACGTCTCTGAACAAAGACCAGACTTACAGAAAGTTAATACACAGGTAAGGTAGGAGTTAAATTCACAGGTAAAAAGTTGCCTTTACACAGACAAAATCTGTTACCGTATGATATGATTTTCATTGTCTCATAATATAGATAGAACTTTGGTGAGTGTCTCCGAATATAGATAAAACTTTTGTAAGTGTCTCAGAATATAGATAGAACTTTTGGAGAATAAGTTTCATATAAGAGATAGAAAGTTGTTTACTTACTGTAAATGTGAATTCATAATTTTTATGGGTACTAATTTTCATGGGTTTCATGGTATAGATGATGCTATCGCAAATTTAGTGTCCCACAAATTCAAATTTCTATTGGCTTTCATGCAGAATTTGTTTAAACCATGTAACATCAAAGAAAATACAATTTCCTCAATATGCATGCAAGTTTTAAAGACAACATTTTTTTTTACTTTTCTCCTCAGCGAGTGGTAGACTATGGATGGCCAGCACACCTTGCACCACCACTGGAACGGCTTTGTAACATTTGTAAATCTATGGACTCCTGGCTGAACTCTGACCCCAGTCATGTTGCTGTCATCCATTGTAAAGGAGGTCAAGACAGAATCGCCATGGTGATAGCAGCTTTCATGCATTACTGCAATATCTGTGCAAGGTTAGTTTTAAAATATAAGAAAAAAATGTTCATATTGAAATTTAGCCACTAACAAATATTGTATTAAAAATAACAAAAGATTTCTCATCTATTTATAAATCCTAAAGATGTTAAATCTAAAAAGTTGTGAACCATCAAAACAAAGATTTATATCTGTACAAATCCTTAAGCAAACTTTCTATTCAGTTGAAAAATAAGAATATTGGTAGTACAATGCAGTTTTTAAAGAGTGATCTAAGGGAAATAACTCTAAATTTTTCATCTTATTAAATTTCAGTTCTGACCAAGCCATGGACAGATTTGCTATGAAAAGATTTTATGATGATAAATTAAGTGGAATTTTACAGCCAGCACAAGAAAGGTAACTAAAAGCTAATTGTACTTTAGCAAATTTCTACAAAAATGTTTTTAACATTCTTTATTGCAAAACAAACAAAAACCAATTTTGGTCATAGCAAAACAGACACAAAACAAACATAAGAAAAACTCAGCAATAATAAGAAACATGTTAAAAACAGTTATTGGTCTCCTTTCCTCAGTTCTAATGACTCTTTAATAAAAGAAACGACTAACTGTAGTAAAAAACAACATGCCTGAACGTAATTAATTTAGAAATGTGTGTTTATCAGTTTTTATGTTTGGCATTGGAAAAAGACATGTAGTTGTGCCATTTATAGCACAATAACATAAATCAGTGTGTAACAGTTGTTATTGTTTTACCATGTGCCAAGTAGCAATTAAATATATGAAAAATTGCCAACCACCTTGCACTATAATAGAAATTATTTGTAAAATTTGTGACAATAAATTGTTGCCCTGCAGTCACAATAAATTAATTCTGCTGTAGAAAGTTTCCTCTTTGATAGAGTTGGATTTGTATGTAGAACAAAAAAGTGTTCTTTTGCTTTAAATGAATATATTGCCCTGTCATAGATATTTTTTATGTTTTTACAGATAGAGAAATACATTTGTTTGTGAAAGTTCAATCTCACAAGGTCAAATTTAAACAAATGAATATTTTTGGGAGGAAAAATATGGAAGAAATAAAAGTCTGGTATGATCAAATTTTAATTGAAGGTCCTTTCGACCCTGCCATAAAATCATTTCTGGAACAGCTCTAAGGTGCACAGCATCCAATATTACAATAACTTCTTATTACTAAGTGGCCAAGTGGTCTTATTAGTCCATCTACAGTACAAGTATCACTAGCCTGTCAACACTGAGGTTGTGAGTCTGAACAATGCACAGTGCAGGTGCTTTCGACTCCGCTCTTGATTAACTAGGATTGTCAGTTTTTAATTAATATTGTTTTTTAATTTCAGATATGTACAGTATTTTGCTGGGTTATTATCTGGTAAAATAAAGATAAACAGTAACCCACTGTACCTTCATCATCTTGTTATCCATGGTGTTCCTAACTTTGATACGAAAGGAGGATGTCGGCCATTTATTAAAGTTTACCAGGGAATGCAGGCCATTTTCACATCAGGAGTCTAGTAAGTTTAGTGGCCTTATGATAAAGTTGTCCATTTCTTTGATTGATCGTTTTGGTAGAAGGACATCACCTGCTTTTTTATTTACCGTACATGCTAAAAATTTGGCTTTGAAGTTTTATAAAGAATGCTTTTTTTTATCAAAATGATAGCTTTCATGGAAATAAATGTAGAGTAGGAGGTCTGTATGTTATTACTGAACACTTTAACACATTGGTTAAAGACCAACAATCTGTAGTATACAGTATTTCATATCATTCCATCCCTTCAACTTTCTTTTTTCTCTGAGGATTCGATTGGAGGTGTTTACCCTGTATATGAAGCCCTAGTATTACCAGGGACAGATCCATGATTTTTGAAAGGGACAGACAAGAGATTAGGGAGGCAAAAATTATTTAGACAAATTTATGCTAAAAATTTATATATTTTCCAATCAAAGGGGGGGATACGCCCCCTGAATTGGCCACTGATTAAATGCAAAGTGCTTTGATCTCATTGCTTAGAGTAATTAAAAATCACACATGTACAAGATATAATTATAAAACCTACACACATAAAGTATAATTAATATCTTAGTAAATCTTTGTTAGTAATGACTTGTATCAGATAAACAATTTATTCATCACAAATTTACTTTGATCAACAGTAGCCAAGATCATGATTGACCCTGACTTAGAGGGTTATTAAAATGTTTGTCTGATCTCCTGATTCATCTTATCTGCTCCTCCTACACACAGAATTCCAGTTTGTGGTTTTTCAGAGGCCCATTAAAGGGAAAATGAAGTTTTTTTTAAATAAAGGTAATTGTGATGAGTAAACAAAAAGTGTACTGGATGAACTAGGTTGATTTGATTTTAAACAAGAAGTAAAAAGCCTCTAAATTAGTTTTCTTTAATTGGGGAAATGAAATGTATTTTTACCTAGCAGTGTTTTATAAACTCACAGGTGATTATCCTGTCTGCTAACTGGGGCAGATCCATAGCCTTGCATAGCCAGGCCAAATTTTTTTTGGATGATTTTATGGTAAAAAATTATAAATTTACCAATCAAAGGGGTACACATTCTACCCCGCCCCCATTCTGCCACTGTTAAATCATTGGTCTGTTAGTGTTGTTGTTTCCAATCAATAATAATCTCACTACTGGACCAAAGTTTTACTCAAGTGTAATGGAACTTCATATTTGTGTGATTAAAACTAGGGAGATGTGGTATGATTGCCAATGAGACAACTATCCACCAAAGTCCGATTGCTATTGACATAAGCAACTATAAGTCATTGTATGGCCTTCAACAGTAACAAAATCCATACCAAATAGTAGGTTATAAAATGCCCTGACACAGGGAAGTTGGTTCCTGTACATTTGTTTCATTTTCATTTTCAAGAGTTTCAGCATTTGATAAATTAGATTTGAAAGAAAGATGTCCACTAATCTCTGTAGTAGGCTGGCAGAAATAATAAGCATGGACTATTTGTGACATAGAAAAGTTCTAACTTTTACTTATTTAATTTGTGTTTGCTTCTTTGCAAACAGTGAAACAGATCAAATTAAGTTAATTTGCTTTTCTTCATGAAGAAAATTAACTCATCTGCTTTTTTTCGTTTGAAGAATTCCAATCTTAATCACATTAGCTTCAAAGGAATATTTCTGTAGCTAACAAAAATAAATATAACAATTACAATACATAATTCTTATTTATCTTGTAAATATTATAGCATTCACCCATGGGGACCCCCATTGTAATCTAATCTGAAGGAAGCTACAGGTATAAGCTATTTTTGGATTGAACATCTTCCAAATTCAAAGATCTGTTTTTTTATGTTTCATAGTTGCCTGTTAGAATCATAACATCTTATTTTTAACTTTGATAGACAGAAAGCATTTACAAGTAGCTCTTTTGTATGGTAAACTGTTAACTGATTCACTAATGAAGTGTTGAAAAAAGGAGAGAAACCATCATAAATTCCTTTTCTTTAATCATATACAGTTTGATAGCTTTCTTCTTAATAATGTAATTAATATCAGTGCACTTACAATGTTCCTTTCTGAAACATGAAACAAAATATATTTGTCAAAACTATTTAAGTTAAATAAATCAATGCACCCCTCTCCACCCTAAAAAAAAATGATGGTTGGTGCCCAAGGTACATCTGCAACCATAAAATTGAGAATGGAAATGGGGAATATGTCAAAGAGACAACAACCCGACCAAAGAACAGACAACAGCCGAAGGCCACCAATGGGTCTTCAACGCAGCGAGAAAATCCCGCACCCGGAGGTGGTCCTCAGCTGGCCCCTAAATAAAATTGTGTACTAGTTCAGTGCAATTTTGTTGATATAAATCATATAGAACCATATTTAGTATTCAAACAAATACATTCCTCTTGTTAAACCTTTTATAAAGATGAAACACCTCAATTTGAATCCTAATCTTAACATTTTTGTGCTGAAACTAGAGTTTAGATGTAAGCAACTAGCTATGTTTCCAATTCCAATTACTCTTGGTTAAGATTGGGTCAGAAAAAAAGCTTAAAAGCTAATAGACATGGTAGATATGTTTGGCATATGGAATGGCTTTTGTGACAAATTTCTGCCATTTTTGCACCAAAATCCAAGAAAAATACTTGTTCCTAAATTATTTTAAAATATCCCATGTCCCCCAAACTTGGAATATCCATAACATCCCTAAGCAAGGCTCAAATGATGATCCATTTTCTAGTCAGGATCACAGTTTTTTTCAGAAACTGACCTGTATGACCCTTTTTTGAAAGTAAGTTTGTAATTGATCATTTTATGAACCTACCAAACTTGAGTTCTTATCTTAAAAAGATATAAGTAGTATTAAAGTATTTTCTTAATTATTAAGATTACAGACTCTTCATTGATTCTATCTTGAAAAAAACTTGAGTGGCAAGAAGGACATGCAAGTTCCTTTAAATCTACCAGTTTTATGTCAGAAATAAAAAAAAGAATTTGAAATGTTGTACATGTACTTTATTGTTCATTACTATTGAATCTATAGAGAAAGTACAGGCTATGTGTCTTATCTGTTTTCATTAACAGGGGAGCAGTTTAATGTCTTTTGTTGGCTTAATTTAGATATTATTATCCAACTTAAGTTGCTTTGATACAAAAAATCAAAGAGTAACATAAAACACTGCAGCCTGAGCTACATTTGTAACTTGTACATCAGTCAAAATTGTAGTCAGAAAAAAGAGGCTGACTCATATTTATTTGATTTAGAAGTACAATTAATTAAAACAAAATGTAGGCCTCCTGAATTATGGGTTTTGGTCGTTGATGACGACAGTACAGTAACATATACTATAGTTGCTTTCATTCAACTGAAAAAAATGCTAGTTGATACATTTTTGACTATAAATTTTCACTTTATAAATATGTAGTTGCACTTAGTTTGAAAAGCCCTCAGGTTATGTTGACCTCAGACTGAAAGCCCTCAGGATATGTTGACCTCAGACTGTTTTTGCTGTTCTGTTTAGGTCCTTGTGCTTTTGGTGCTCACAACCATTATTTATTAGGCCTTATAAATGATGTAATTAAACTAAGTGTAAACTCCCTCAGGATACATTGACCTCAGACTGTTTTGGCTGTTCTGTTTAGACCCTTATGTTTTTGGTGCTCAGGATCATTATTTATTTTGCCTTTTAAGTGATGTCATTAAACTAAGTTTAATATCCCTCAGACTTGTTTGGCTGTTCTGTTTAGGCCCTCATACTTTAATTTGGTTTGGTGCTCATGATCGTTATTTGTTTTGCTACTTAAACTGTGGTTTGAGTGCACCTGTTGAAGGTTATTCCAGAAACATTACCCATCATGCACTTAGATTAGTATCCTATAATCTTTGTATTGAAGAAGTTTTCTGTAACTTAAGTTTAAACAAACAATGTTGAAATCATCTGCTTAATTTGTTTTTTTCTTCTTCTGTAAAGTTATTTGATATCATTGTGACTTCTAATTTTGACTCATTAAATCAGTTGAAATGCAAAAAAAAAGTATTTAATAGTTTTTACAAAATTAAGGGCTTCATGTCTGGCCTAGTTTGAACCATTCTTACATAATTCATTTGTTAAAAAGGCTGAAATTTGAATCTGCAATTTGATCCCTGGGAGAAGTTGACAAGGTCTCATTATCTGAGGACAAATAACTTAAACAAAGAAATTCAATCTGATCTTGTACCATTGACAGGTTTAATTTGTTTTTTTTTGTCAAAATTTCTTTTAAATGTTACTGTAAATTGGACAGTGATGTGCACATCAAATGTTTTTGTGTGAGTGTTGTTTCAAGAGTTCGTTCAATTATTGATCACATATATAACACAAATGATGGTGAGTCTAGTAACTTTAAAGTTGAAGTCTAAGAGTATAATGTATGAAACATAAAATAATGGTTCTTAATATCAATTTTATTTTCGTTGGAGGATTGAATAGAAGCATGATGACTCTAAATGTCTTTAGGTAGTTTTATTTGTTAGGCTGCTGTCTCATTGACGTAATCCCCTTTAGTTCATATAAAATGCAGGATTGAACAATTGTGTTTCATGTCAGACCTGAGGGTGTGGATGGGGGTGTACAGAATAGAGAATAATGGGCAAAAAATGTAAAGAATAGAGAAAAATGGCCAAAGAAATTAAAGAATACAGAAATAAAGGACCCCCAATACATACCCTCATACCTGAACATGGACAGAACTTACGTAATTTCTGATGGTATAGATATGTTAAAAATTCTCATACCTATAAAACAAATTTGGGCTTGAATGTTGCCACTACAAAGTCAGGGGAAAAAATTAAATCGTTTACATTTATAAATTTTTGCCTACTGTGATTTTGGTCAAGCATATTCAGTATCCAAGATCTATCCAACTGGGTCAATTAATACTCATTAATTAAAAATACAACAATCGTTTACTTCTTAATGTCTGGTTTTGTTTTTGTTCTTTTTTGTCTTGATGATATCTATTTTATTCATATTAATCAATATTTTAAATATACTTTTTTTTTCAGCAATGTTACAGACCAGATGCAAAAAGTGTGTATTTCAATATCACCAGGAATTCCACTACGTGGGGATATTATGATTAAATGTTTTCATAAACATAATTCAGGAGGCCGAGAACCTATATGGACCACTCAATTCCATACGTGTGCAATTTCTAATATGAATGTTTTGTTTGCTAAAAATGAATTGGACGAGGCTAAGGATGGTAAGTTTAGTTTTTATATTAGAGAAAATATTAATTTCAATGATTTTTTACCAAAATTTAAAGGATTTTTTACCAAAATTTAAAGGAATGAGACAAACAGATAAACCAGTGAATGTGATTGCATACTATTTTTGATTGAGGACAAATTGTACTTTCATATATATTGAATTTTGTGGTTTAGCCTAAGACCTCATGCAAGCCTATAGAAAATTTGTACTTGGTTGAACACTTAAATTTGTGGTTGACCTTTACCCATGAAATCCATGTAAATTGGTATCCCACGATTAATAATGAATCTGCACTACATTGTCAAATGGAGGATTTAGTAAACATCATGTTTGTTTTTCAGATCCTCGTTTTCCAAGGATAGGGAAGGTTGAGTTTGTATTTGGTAAAAGTCAAGACAGTAGAGTATTAGGTAAGTGTAGGCAGTAGAGTATTAGGTAAGTGTAGACAGTAGAGTATTAGGTAAGTGTAGGCAGTAGAGTATTAGGTAAGTGTAGACAGTAGAGTATTAGGTAAGTGTAGGCAGTAGAGTATTAGGTAAGTGTAGACAGTAGAGTATTAGGTAAGTGTAGGCAGTAGAGTATTAGGTAAGTGTAGGCAGTAGAGTATTAGGTAAGTGTAGACAGTAGAGTATTAGGTAAGTGTAGACAGTAATTAGGTAAGTGTAGACAGTAGAGTATTAGGTAAGTGTAGACAGAAGAGTATTAGGTAAGTGTAGAGAAATAAGCATGGGTCAATATTATGCAGTTGACCTGACAATATTTTTGATAGTCCATAGAAAAAATACTGAACCTTTTGAAGGTAAACATTTGATTGGATACTGAAAGGTCACTAAGCCTGACCTCTTATGTTTTCAAGTCTACACACTGCCAAAAAAAAACAAATCTAATGGAGCAAAGTGAAAGATCTGATTCAGATTGAAAGTAGGAGAGTCTTGTATGACTTTTTATGTGTTTATTACTTTTGCAGTATCTTCAAATTAATGTCCATAAACATAGCAAATATTTTACTTGACCCATCTAAGGCTCAAACTGAAGCAAAACCTGACATGAAAATAACACAATAAACAAAAATTAGTTACCTTGAAAAATTTATTGAAAGTAGATTACATTTTATAACAATATAAAGCTGTGACACTAAAAACCTACAAACACATTGAGACTTGCATAAAAATGAGAAAATTGGATGTTCCAGATTTCTACTTTAGCAGTTTATTTATGAATACATCAGGAATATTCAGTGTAAAATATTTTTGTTTTCAGTACATGATTTCAAATCAGACGTAACAGTGCCAGTAATAGATGAGGATGGACTCAAACGCTCAGAATCTTACGAAAATTTTCTCCGCGCTGGAGGACTGACGGTGGATGGTAAGTACTAATGCACTGAATTTATAAAATATATGTACTACAGATTATTCTTGTACACCACATTTGTATATTTGGCAGCAGGCTGGGTGTATCTTTATTTATAGAGTTGACAAAGCATGATGGGAAATTTATCTGGTTACCTAGCTACAGTAGTTTGCTCAATTATGAAATAAACTAAAATTTGCATGGTTGTCAAATATTCGTATAAATTTAGATTTAGTCATTTAATACATGTATTTGATTGGTGTTTGGTGGTGAAAAAATGTCAACTACTGGAAAATTTCACATTCAGCTTTTCCAACGTCTTAGAAGATGACCATTGACCTTTTGTTAAAGGTCATTCTGGTCATCTTGAATATTTATTCTTCAAAGCTTTAAAAAAAGCAATAGTCAGACACTTGGGCCAGTATTCTGAATTTTCTGTTCCAGATAATTGATTAAAGGTTTTGAGATATAAACAAATTGATCTTGTTTTTAAGTGAATCGGAAAGTTTGGAAGCCTCCTTCAAGGTCAAAGTCAAGGGCAAACATGGAATGCATGTTATAATAGACTTTTTTATTTGTAGTCAGATTTTTGTTGATCTTTTAGCATTGTCACCTTCTTTCCGACATTTTGCATTTAGAATAGTGCCGCTTTTTATACTAAAACAAAAAGGTAAGTTTTGTATGAGATATTTACAAATTAAGTCATATGATCTTTATAATGTATCTTCATTGCTTATGTTTTGATTTGCATTATTTGTTTTAAACTATTTTATATAAGATTTTGATATGTTTGTGAAGAACCAAATGGATTCAGTTTTCATACTTTACGTTTCATTTAACTGGTCCCTTTACTATGCATGAAAGTTTTCCATAAGTTACCAGATTCTACTGGATTTTGGGATTTTCACATATTTTGTCCCTTTATATTCCTTTACCAAACAATTTATTTTCTTCATTCTGGTTTTGGCACCTTTTGAACTTTTACCCATGCTTGGGAAGTTTTAATATTGTAGATACACGTACCAGATTTTATAGTGAAGAACTGAATTCATTGGAGTTTCTACAGTCAATATATATTTTTAATCGTTTAATTGGCTGCGTTGTGATTCAAAACTGATTTTAATGTCCAACAGTATGTTTTACAGTTTTTAATCATAATGGCCACCACAACAATTGCCCCTTGTTTATAAGCAACTGTTTCAAACGAATAGAAAATATATAGTATTTCAGGAAGCACTCTATATATGTGAAATAATGTTTTCACACTTTTACATGTATGTTAACAATCTTGAAAACAGTTGTTTTAAAAACAAAAACAAAAATATAAGATTTTTGTGAACTTGTATTTTGTCAAAATATATAGGGTAAAAATATCTGATGAAATTTTATTTGTAGAATTGTTTGTAAAGATAGATGTCCCTGTTATGCAATTTTGATGTAAAAAAGTTTCATTGGCTAATTTTTATTTGGGGGGGGGATGGGGTATGTGCACATGTAAAACTAACCCCACCAGATAAATGCCTGTAACAAGTCAGGCTACCTGGATCACATGTATTTCTTGTTTTGTCTTTGCTTGTACAGCTATTTTATTGGATGAGTCAGCTGTTCATGGTTGGTTTGGTTTGTTGTACATGTATTTTGGTAATTCCTGTAGTTTTATATTGTGTATTTGCTGTCAGTTATTATCCCCATGGAAACATTTTTACCTGAACAATGTATTACAAAAAATTTGTGTTCTACAAAATGTTGTGTGTTTTGTGCACTTCTTAATTTTGTTGTTTCCACATTGCAAGGTGGTGAATAAGATAAAGATTTTATATTGAAGTGATACAGACAAGTGATGTGTTGGTGGTGATTAAAGGAATGATTACATAGTTCTGAGAGAGGGATGATATCATCAACGTGATCAACCAGACAAAGAGGAGTCTTTGTTTATGAATTATTTCATTGCTGGTCTTCTTTTATTAATGTCTACTTCTAAATTTGTGCTGTTTTCTAACTACCATAAGTCAATACCCTAAGGTTTGAGGTCCATGTGATAAACCTCCATGAGGGACTCTTTTTCATGTGGGCCAATAAATGTTGAATTATAAGTTGTTACTGCTTCATATGTTTTCCGTACAGAGATTATGTAATAACATATACACTCCTTACTGGATTTTGTATCAGTTTATCTTAAAATACTGCATCACTGAGTCTACCTTTGAATTTTCACACGTCAAAATTTTAAATATCTAAATCAAATTTGAACAAAGGAGATTTGCATTTGCATGACTATCTTCAAAAGGGATTCACACATCCATTTTATTTCATATTGCTGCAAGACTACCCACACAAATATTTTTAATGGATCAATTCAGAAACTCAATTTTTATCCTGGTAAATAATGTTGGACTGTCTCGGTATCTTTCTAAATAATATCTAACAAAAAAAAAACATCTTTTGTCTCATCTACATCAAAAGTTAGAAAGCCAGATTGCTTGCTCTACAGGTGTCCTAAACAGTTTATTTAAAAGGTCTAAATAAAGAAAGGCTTTAATTGTAAATTAATTCTGTATCTAAACTTTGAAAAAAGCCGTGTTCACATTCACATCCAGTTTGAAGGTGGTTCCGTGAAAAGGGAATGAAAGAGCATTGACCTTAATTGACCTAGTGAGAAATGGAAAATATATTAACTGTCTTTTAATAGTCCAACTTATAGCTACAAAATACTTCTGTACAATATTAGAAAATAATTAAAGTCAGAACATCACATTTTTATGATGAATATTTTTGTATGGGGGCAAAAAACCAAAATTGTTGGCAAGCGTAAGAAATGTTTGTATTCATGATTGAACTAAAAATTCATAGTTACAAATAACCTTTCAAAACAATTTGACAAAAGAGATGCAAAAAAGGTTTAATTTCAACCTGATAGTATTCTCTTTGAAAGTTGTTTTTTTTATCTTGCAGTCAGTGTAAGAAAATTTGACACTTATCTTTCGGATTCCTCTATAGAGACTCCAACAGATGGCCTTTTCTCAAATGACAAAAAAATTGAAACGAAATGTAGGTTGAAAAACCTTTCTTTGAATTTTTTTTAAATCATCAAGAATCCATGAAAATTACCCACCCATTAAAAATATCTAGGTTTCTGCCTCAACAAATGTCCATACATCAAAGGAATTTAGGGTCAGAAAAAAGGTCTGTTGATTAGACCTTGGAATAAAGCCAAGTTATGAACTTTACCCAGGTGCAAATCTGTTAATCAGAACAACAAACGAGCAATTTTTTTTGTTATTTTTTATAGCAATAAATTACTTCTAAATAATGTATGTTGTCATAAATGTCTACAACTGAACTTTTTATTACATTTATCAATGAACTAAGTCAGAAAGGTGTACATATATTAATTATCTCTCTGTAAGGAGGTGACTATTGAGTCATAATTTATATATGGGGTCACACATAGTTGAAAGTACATTAACAAAAAATCAGGTTGTACTTGATAATTTTTACAGTGCATTTTTTGTGTAAACATATCTGAGCATTTATGTCTTTACATCTATTTAAATTTAATTCTCTGTTTAAAAAGTGCATATAATGATTTTGTTATTTTTAGCTCACCTGGACCTAGGACGACAATTTTTGACTAATTTTTTATCTTTGTCTGATCTCAAAAACTATAATAAGTAGGTAGAAACGTACTGTGAACAGAAAAAAATATGATGAACAATAGGAGATATGTATTTGACATTGAAGCATTTTGGAGCCTCTTGTTTAACAATGATACATGTAGTTTAAAACTACATGTGGACTGTTCTGTGAGGTCTTGTGTTTTTCTTGTTTGAATCAGAGTTACAAGGATGTTTTAAGTTTTCTATCTTGAAAATGTCTCATCTCTCTGACTGTCAATTATCTATGGTATAGTTCTAACAAAAGTAATAATAATGTAATCAATTAATCACATATGTACTATATCACAATTAGAGAAAGTAATAAATAGGACTTGTTAATCCCTGGCACACTCTTGTGGTGTTATCACTGCTTTAAGAATGCAGGGGGTCGGTAAAGGGAATTTTGTAGGTTTTCTTTAATTTCCCACATTTTTCCATGCTCTTTATTAAAAGATTCTCCAATTATGATTGTGGCAACCTTAAGCAAAAACACCACTAGATTTCCCATGAGGTAACTTTTACAATATAACCTCCTATGAGGTAACTTTTACATCTGTCAAAGGTAGTTATTATATATGAACATTACCCTGTAAATATACTGATACTAGATGAAAACAAATGGTTGATGGTAATGTATACAAACAGGAAATATTTTTGATTTATGACAGAAGGAAATTACCCCCTTGGAAGCCCCAATATTAATTGCTGAGGCATCTGGAAGATCATAGCCCTGCAGTACTGTATCTTCTCTCACCTGTGTTGATAATCTGAACCACTATTATTCAGTAGCAGCTATCATCTCTCAGGCATAACATCACTTGGCCCTGGATCTAATAAATTTTGGCTGCTGATGTGAAACATTATTTAGAAATATTTCATTTAATTATTTAGAAACTGTGCAGGAATTCAGAATATACTTTAAGGATTATTTATATAAATATAAAGTGATCCATGGTTTTTTTCAAGTAGGAGTCTGAATAGTTTCTAAAAATAGATTGGAATTTGACAGGATAGGAAAGAGGAAATGATCAAACTATTATCCACATCCCACGAGGAATTAATTATTACGAGTGCATGAAATTGCACAATATTATTTGTTGAAAATCAATTAAAATATTGATTTTGGTAAGAGATTTCGACATTATTTCATGGATATACGTAAATCAGGATAAAATCCATTGGAAAAGAAAACAATTAAAAATAATAATTAATAAATAACATTTTCGGATGTTTAGCTGAGAGATGCCTGGAACTTCTGTGCAAAATCGAATGAATGGTGAGTTTTATGATTAGTTGAAATTTGTGTTTACACTAACTAGTACTGACTTCATTTATTTTGTTGATCTGTTATTAATTACT